GGCAAAACGCTTTTCGAGTATTCGAACTGTCACACCGGAGGTACGATCATAAACACGTCCGTTCCGATCGGTGGTCAGCGATCGAATGGACGAGAACCGGTATATCCTGACTAGTATGGCCGTTGGCTGATAACACATGGTGCCAAAATTGTTTTTCACTGTATACCCTGTGTATTACAGTTATTCTTTTTTATTTTCCAACAGTTTCATTTGTTAAAATTCTCGATTACTTTATTTTTGAATATTTTGCATTATTGTCGCATATAAGCAAAGACAAAACACATCAGAATTCATAATCAAGTAATCCGAATCGTACTTAGGAATTTTTATTAGTGTCATTCGTATCTGACACAAACTAAGAATTAACAAACAAGTCAATCGCTTCGGACGTATAATTCGAGTCAACCGTTTTCGGACTCACTCCTAAACTGTTACTCTCAAGATTAGTTTCTTTTGAGCACAGCATGCGCGAGTCAGCACAGCATCGAAAAAGGGAATTTTTAAATCCTTTAAATAAATTATTCAATCTGAATATGATATTTGGATACCTTTAAAGCAAAAGTCTATGATACCGTCAAATAGCATTTGTATGTTGAGTCGGCTTAACGAAAAATTTAATTCGAAGTCTTTAGCCAAACTAACCAACCCTATAGTCAACCCTATCAAGGTTTTATGTACTTACCCGATTTTTATTAGTTTTCGAGATATAACGCTTAGAAATTTATTGATTTTCAACAGAAACGTCACGATTTGAGTAGTAAGTCATAAAAATGGTCTTATTGTTGTGGTAAGTGGTGCGGGTTTGACTCTGCTTGCCGAAACTGATAGCCGAGGATCTACGGACCCAACAGTAAGTCCGAAGAGTACGAAACGTGGAAAGAATTGTCCATTACGCTCTAAATTTTCCGCATTAAGGATGATGGAGAGTTTCCATATGAACACTTTTTCGTGACATGAATAGTTCATAAAATATCGCGCTGTCACACTTTGGTGCGGACACCCTGTATAATGCTACACATTATGTTACAATGTGTTCTACGTTGCTTTCGAGTTCGGTTCTAAACTGAACTTCCGCTGTGTTTTTAAAAATTAGTAAGATTTGGAATTTTAACACGTTCCGTGCCGCACCGTTTTTTCAAGACTTTCCGTGGAGCGCATACGCCCCACGCTTTAGACTTGTGTTTTTTTGATTTGGCATATACGCCTATCCCCCGATTTACACTGAAAATAGATTCCTTAGAAAACCGTGTAAATCGAAATCGTAGATTCTTATACGTAAAACCGTGTAAATCGAAAGCAAACTCAAATGTGCATAATTCAGTCATTTATTTCAACGTAAAATAAAACTAAATATATCTTAAAAACATAAAAATAACTGTCTATTTATAAAATGACAAAAATATAAAGGTATATGTATGTAATTCATTTTACATATAGAAACGAGAAATATAAATTAAAAAATTTAACCAGAAATTTAGTTACTGTTATCACTTTCGTAGACTCTTAATCTTTTATTCCTGATTGGTATGATATCACTTTCATCACTCGATAGTGGTTGATGCGATTCAAGTTCGATATTAGATGAATTAGAAACAACTTCAGATGGGCGAACCTTGGTAGTGAAATCCGTAATTAACAATTGTGTTTCGATTTTGATCAAATCTTTATAGACCTCCTCATATTGAGTTAAGCGTTTATTAATATCTCGCTGAAATAGGAGAGCTCGTTCAACATTCGGGTCATTTTGTAGAAAATGATTACCCAATTTTCGCCCTAATTCAAGTCCTTCACGGATGACTTTTGCTGTGAATGCAACTGGTTCAGACTCTGCTTCATCAGGATCACTGCCACGATCATTTGTTTCATTAACCATGTCCACTAAATCATCCTCATCTAGTTCTTTGTCCTCCATTAGTTCTACAATATCTGCCTCAGCAAAATCCTCGAAACCTTCTCCTCCTATTGTATGCGCCATCTCCATTATCTGAGAATATTCATGTTCCAATGGTAATCTAGAATTTTCACCTTCAACTACATCTGGCCATAATTTTTTCCAGCAGGCATTGAGCGTTGATTGCTTAATTTCGGTATATGATACTCCAATATGCTTAACACAATCTAAGATTGTAAATTTTTTCCAAGCATCCATAATTGGGAGCGATTCATCATTTTCCATTTGTTCTAAAATATACCTGAAGGTTCGCTTGATGTACTGTGCCTTAAAGGGCGAAATTATCCCTTGATCTAACGGCTGCAATAAAGAAGTCGTATTTTTGGGTAAAAATACAACTTGCACATTTTCGTGATGTAAATCTTGAGGATGGCCTGGTGCATTATCAATTAAAAGAAGGGTCTTAAAAGGCAACCCCTTTTTACTTAAATACCTTTTGACGTCTGGGACAAAAAAGTTATGAAACCATTCATTGAAAAGTGTGGCAGTAACCCAGGCCTTCTTATTGGCCATCCAATAAACGGGAAGGTTGTTGATCTTTATTCCTTTAAATGAGCGTGGCGTTTTCGATTTGTTAATAACCAATGGTTTCATTACATGATCGCCTGAAGCGTTGCAGCAGAAAAAAACTGTTATACGACTTTTCGCTGCTTTATGACCACTAGCTGATTTGTGAGCTTTAGCCAAATAGGTTCTTTCTGGCATTTTTTTCCAAAATAACCCGGATTCATCAGCATTGAAGACCTGGTCAGGAATGTAGGAATTAACGGCTATAATTTCAGCAAATTTTGCCGGATATTGTTGCGCTGCATCTGAATCAGCAGATGCTTGTTCACCCTTCAATCTTAGATTATGTAAAGAATGTCTTCGTTTAAATCTTTCAAACCAACCATGGCTTGCAGAAAAAGATACGTTCTTTTCAGCTGAAGAAGTAGATGGTAACTGATTCTTAATTTTTTCATAAATCTTCAAAGCCTTATTTGTAATTGTATTGGTATCAATTGGAATCCGCTTTTGAGTGGTGTCTTCTAGCCATATCATTAATGCTTTTTCCATATTTTCCATTGCAACATCCCTTACGTATGTAGTTGTGCTCATACTCGTAGAAGATCCAGCTGCTACACTTTTTCTAATGGAGTCTTCATTTTTTCTTATTGTCCTTATTGTGGCTTCATTCATAGAATAAAATTTAGCAACATCTATTACTCTTTCTCCATTATGTAGACGATCCAAAATTTTAATTTTGCTTTCTAAAGATATAACTTTTCTTTTCATTTGTTTTTTTGTAATTCCTTTTGGCATGGTAAAACCCCTAAAATTTTAGTAAAATTATAAAAATGCTACAAAAACTAAAATTGTTTTTCACTAACCAGTATATATGAAGTTTTAAAAAATTCCAAATAGAAAAACACAATGATGTACAGCTTTCTGCTGCTAAAAATTTACTGCACTAAATTGTAGGGGACAAAGTTTAAAATAACTTAAAATGTTCTTTACTATTCGGATTTACTACAGGTATTTGATTCGATTTCTTGGACAAGACTCGGAGAAAGACTGGCGAGAGACTCACGAGAAACTGTCGGGGCGAGCCTCCGGTTTGCCTATCTGCCCTCGGCTGGCGCGTCTGAAAAGTTGAATAACGCGATGCCTTTTAGCGCGCCAAGATTTTGGCGCGGGCTCACCACGTTCGTCAACTATCTCGGATCTTCTCGTTCCGGGCCGGTGCAAATTTAAAAACCGTGTAAAAGTGAAATCGTGTAAACCGAGTACCGTGTAAATCGGGGGATAGGTGTACTTTACTATGATTAAAATAATGCAAAAATCATAATCATCAAGGGAAGGATATACATTTTAAGATGCATAATACACAAAAGCAATAAATTTATTTTTCTAGGAATTAGTTTAACAAATACCTGGCTAAACATTACTCTACTAAGCGGCTTGCCCGGCCTGAACGGAAAGTTCAGCGTGGGGCGCATACGCCCCACGCGGCACGGAACGTGTTAATTGATTTCCTCGCGCTTTTTGTAGTGGAGTACTAGTACGCTATGCTAGAATCGATGCTTTACAAAAATCGAAGTCTTAACTTGTGATAGAATATAATTTTTTATCGATAAAATTATAAATTGATGATTCGAATGTTCACGTGAAATTAAATTAATATACACTGCTCAAAAGAAATATGGCATAGAAAAAATTTAGGCAAAAATTGGCCAAATTCGACTGATGATAACTCCGTGAAAAATCATCGCAAAGTTATGCTCTTTTTTTTAAATTAAAGCTTGAGATCTCTGCTTTAAGACCCTGTAGTTTGATTTTAGATTTGATGCATCCCTACCGCAATAACACCGTAAATGTGAGGTCATGTTTGCAATATTGAAAATTACAAAGTTTGACGAAATGCATGGACTTGCCACATTTTTTTGGGGCGATACTGTTTACAGCAGCAGAAAGTACAAACCTTTATCTTTAATTTCCAGTATGTGAAAAACCGCTACCATTTTTTTCTGCAAAGATACAGAACTTTAAAGAAACCCTTGCATTTATGGCATATACTGCCGCCATTAGCATTACCCGATGTGCAGGTCGGAGAGGTTGCTGGACAGATTTTGCACATTATATGGCTCTGACAGGAGCCTTTTCTGTGTGTATTTGTGTGTGAGAATCTGTGTGTGTGTATGAATTATCGTCGAGAAGCCTCGTTGAGAATCATTCTCGAATTTTGCAGTCCCAATTCAATTTGATTGCTTCCATATTCTGCAGTAAGTCCAAATTTGAACCCTATAGAAATTTAACAAGACAACCTACCAATCTGTAAGATCTATCGCAAGTCTTAACTGAAATTTGGAATGACATTCCACAGGAAGAAATTAGGGCTTGCATTAACATGAGTAATCGACTGCAAGGGATAATTCAACAACGCGGTGGAAACACGCGTTATTAGAATTCAAACATACAGACACACAGATACTCA